AACTGACACAAAGTAGATGAACGGGAGAAAAGCAAACGCATGTATTTATTTAATACAAGTTTTACGTAGCACGGAAGCCTCCTAGGGAAGGAAAGGTGGGAAGAAGCAGCAGCCACTCGTGCACTGAATGGGACAAAGAGCCACAAGTCGTGATCAGGCAGCAAAATCATGTAGGAAGACTTCAAAGCTCAGGGTTATTTTTGTAAGATCTGTACAGAATTGTCTCGACCTTGAGAACAAATACTTAATATGACAAAGTGGCATGTGTTTAACTGTCAGGGACCAGCCTTCCACTCCTTAATGTTCTCTGACTCACCTGGCTCTTCACCTGTAGTTGGACACTGCTCTTACACATAGGGTAAGAATAACAGAGAGGTCTCAGAGGCACTGGTAATATATTCCATGGAAGGGAAGGGGGAAATCTGAGTGAATTTAGAAATTCTTCTTTACACTATAAATAAATCATTATTTATAGATTTATATTTATCACAGATTTCATTTCAGTTTGGTGGTGGGTCAAAAGAGTTGATAAGAGTAAGTACAGGGATTTCCTTGCTTTTCACTGCCAACTGTGTTATGCATATTTTAAATACAATACATGAGATAAAGTAAAAAATTTTGAGGATTTGCTATCATTACTGTAATGGGTTGAATTGTGCCCTCCCAAAAATTATGTTCAGGTCCTAACCAATGACGCCTATGAAAGTGGCCTTATTTGGAAATGGAGTCTTTGTAGGTGTGATCAAGTTATGATGAGGTCATACCGGATTACAGTGCACCCTAAATCCTGTGACTGGTGTTCTCAGAAGAGAAGAATGACATTCGGAGACACAGGGACGAAGGCTTTATGAAGACAGAGGGAGAGACTGGAATGTTGCAACTGCAAGCCGAGGAGTGCTGAGACTTGCCAGTAGTCACCAGAATTAGAAGGCAAGGAATGATTCTCTCCTACAGGTTTAAGAAGGAGCATGCTGACAGCTCGATTCTGGACTTCCAGCCTCCAGGCCTGTAGAAGAATAAATTTCAGTTGTTTTATACCACCCAGTTTGAGGTACTTACTTATAGCAACCTTAGTAAACTAATAAAATCACCGTCATATAAAGCTCACTCAAGTTGTGATGGGGAAAGGGTGGAGTCCTGGGGGAAGAAGAAGTATGTTAACTTTCTGAAATTTCAGGTGAGGAGTCCACTCACACTGTCTAAAAAACAGAGAGTGAAAGAGCTATATAGTAAAGACTCAGGATTGTATCGCAGGTGTGACAAACCCCTAAACTAGCACAGTTCCCTAAAATTTTAATTTATGGCATAGTTTTAAATGAAGGGACTTCAATAACTCTGCTAAAAGAGATTTTTGCCTCTTGTAGCTGAGGAATAAGACAGATACAAAATAAAAATTAAAAGTTTAATTTTGCAGGTTGTCAGACCACCATGCAAAGTGAATTTTCAGCTTTTACAGAAATGCCGGGCATTGATGATAGGGAGGCAGAACCCCAGGAATTGGGATGGGACACTTGGGAGGTTCTAGAGGACTTGGTGCATCAAAACTCCCCATGGAAGCTGATGTCCCTGCCACGTGAAGCAGTTCATCTTCCTGTGCTGATGAGGAATGGGTTTACTCATGTGAAGCCTTGGACAAATAATCAGAGACTCTCCATAACTATACTAAAATAATCATTGCCATTTGTTACCACAGCTTAGATGAAGCCAAGATTTGAACATAAAATGTGATCCTGCGGGTTAAAAAGCTAAAACTAAAATTACATTCATAGTCTGAGAATGCCTCTTCTGTGACAGTTGGGGCATTCATCAAAAGGGTGGGAACTGAAATGGCACTTTGGAGTAGACTTTTATGAATCTGAGTGTTTTGAACTCACAGATCCTACTGAGCCTCCCTTGCTAGCAAAAGATCCTTCTTTCTCTACGTGAACAAGTTGAGATTCTCTTGCTTCAAGACCCTTTGTGATGACATCTGAGGTAGTTACACAGTAAGGGGATGTTGACTTATTTCACGATCCATCTCTTATTTCCGCTAGACCCATAATTTGAATCAGATGCCATCAGGAGAAAAAAAAAGGATGACCATGAAGTCTGACTTCATAGAAGGTAGAAAGTACATGACATCGTTGCAAGTCTTTGCCTCCCATCTCAGCTTTGGGTTCTGATGGTTCGGAGTTCCTAATTCTCATGTAAGTGGGTAGACTAGGTGAAGAAGATGGCCTCCACCAATGTGGATGGGCACCATTTATTGAGGGCCCAAATAGAACGAAAGGTGGAGGAAAGACAAATGTGTTCTCTCTGAGTCGAGACATCCATCTTCCCCAGTTCCCACAGACGTTAGCCCCCCTGGTTCTCTGGCCTTCCAACTCAGACTGGAACTTCTACTATCAGCCCCCTCCCCTGGTTCTAGGCCTTCACACTTGGACTGAATTACACCACCGACTCTCTGGGTTCCAGCTTGTAGATGGCAGATTGTGGGACTTAGCCTCTATAATCACATAAGGCAATCTTTACAATAAATCTTCTATCATGGCCGGGCACAGTGGTTCATGCCTATAATTCCAGCACTTTGGGAGGTCGAGGTGAGAGGATTGCCTGAGTCTGCGGGTTCCAGACCAGCCTGGGGAACTTGGCGAGACCTCATCTCTACAATAAATCAAAAAATTAGCCTGGCATGGTGGCGCATGCCTATAGGTGGAAGGATCACCTGAGCCCAGCAGGTTGAGGCTTGTGGTGGCCATGAATGTGCCACTGCACTCCAACCTGGGTGACAGAGTGAAACTCCAGCTCAAGAAAAAAATAAAAAATAAAAACCTTCTATCATGTATAGATGTAAATATACATTTCCTAAATATGTATGTGTGTGTATGTATGTGTGTGTGTATCCTATTGGTTCTGTTTTTTTGGAGAACTGTGAAACTCTTACTGTATGGAAAGTGATATACAGATAATGGAAATGTAAATTGTTACAACCACTTTGGAAAGCTATTTGGAAATGCCTGCTACCGCTGAATATATGTGTGCATATTTCAGTAATTTTGTTTCTTGGTATATACCTAACAGAAATCTATATATGATTATATAGCTATAAATAGATAGATATTCTTCAGAAGATATGTACAAAATTGTTCCAGAAATTCTACTCTTTTTAAAAAAGTTATTATTCTACATACAATATGCTGTGCATATTTCAAGTGTACAATATGATGTTTTGACATAAGTATATCCCAGTAAAACCAACACTATCATTAAGACAGTGAACATGTCTATCACCCCAAGAAGTTTTCTCATAGCCCTTTGTAATTCCTCCCCACAACCCTCACCCCCACTTACCCACCGATTGCCAAGCAACCACCAATCTGCTTATTGTCAGTATAGATAAATTGGCATTTTCTAGAGTTTTACATCAATAAAAATCATGTAGTGTGTCATCTTTTTTTGTTTTGGATGGTGTCTTAGTCCATTCTGGCTGCTATAACAAAGTACCATATGGACTGAGTTGCTTATAAACAGCAGAAATTTATTTCTCATGATTCTAAAGGCTGGGAAGTCCAAGATCAAGATGCTGACACATTTGGGTTTTGGTGAGAGCTCATTTTCTCACAGACAGATGTCTTTTCAGTAATCTCATGTGATGGAAGACAATCCAGAGGGATCTCTCTGGAGTCTCTTTTATGAAGGTTCCACCTTCATGACCTAATTGCCTCCCAAAAGTCCCACCTTCTAATACCATCACCTTGAATGTTAGGACTTCAACATATGAATTTTGGGGGTACACAAACATTTAATCCATTGTATATTGTCAGTCTCTTTAATTTTAGACATTCTAATTCATGTGTAGTGGTATTTTCATACCCACTAAGACGGATACAATTTTAAAAACAACAACAATAAAATAAAAGGCATTGGCAGGAATGTGGAGAAAATGGAACCATTGTAAATTGCTAGTGGGAATGTAAATGACCCAACAATTCCATTACTAAAGATATACCCCCCAAATTTTTTTTAAGTACTCAAACAAATGCTTGTACATAGTAATTGCAGTACTATTCACAACAGCCAAAAAGGTGGAAACAACTCAAATGTCCATCGACCAATGAATAAAATACATCTGTTGATTTACATAAAATGGGATATTATTCAGCCGTAAAAAGAAATGAAGTACTGGGCATGGTGGCTCAAGTCTGTAATCCCCGCACTTTGAAAGGCTGAGATGAGAGGATTGCCTGAGTCCAGGGCTTTGAGACCAGCCTGGATAACTTGATGAGACCTTGTCTCTACAATAAATTTAAAAATTAGCCAGACACATTTGTGCACACCTGTAGTTCCAGCACTTTAGGAGGCAGAAGCAAGAGGATTGCCTGCGCTCAGGGGTTCAAGACCAGCCTGGGGGACTTGTCGCTACAATAAATCAAAAAATTACCCAGGCATGGTGGTGTGTACCTGTAGTCACAGCTACTTGGAAGACTGAGGTGGAAGGATCATCTGAGTCCAGCAGTTCGAGGCTGCAGTGGCCATGGCATGCCACTGCATTCCAACCTGGGAAACAGAGTGAGATTCTGACTCAAAAAGAAAAAAAAGAAAGAAATGAAGTAATGGAATTTGCTATGACATGAATGAACAAATAATATTATGCTCAGTAGGAGAAGCCCAACACAAAATGTCATTTATTGTGTAATTCCATCTATATGAACTATCTAGACTAGGTGAATCCATGGGAACAGAAAGCAGAATGATGGCTACCAGGGGCTGGGAATGTGGAATACTGGCATTTTATTTGGGGATGATGAAAATGTTTTGGAACTAGATTGAGGTGGTGGCTGCACAACCTTATGACTGTACTAAATGCCACTGAATTGTTTACTTTAAAATGGTTAATTTTATATTTTGTGAGTTCTACCTCCAGACATCCCCAAAGATTTCTAACACATGCCTGAGATGGCGATGGCTTCTGTCCTAAGGTCTTTTTCCTGGGGATGCTGCCTAAAGAGCACATGTACCTCTCCCTGGTGGTCTAGTGGCTAGGATTTGGCGCTTTCACCGCTGCGGCCCGGGTTCGATTCCCGGCCAGGGAAGTAGGCTCTTTCTTTATGATCAAGTCTTAGGATCAGCTAGACACAGTGAGGTTAGCCTACCTTTTATATTTCTCCCGGGTGATCCTGAAGTCAGTTTCAAGAACCACTGGACAAAGTCACTGGGGAGCCAAGGACTATTGTCAAGCAACATCATCTTAAGAGGTTCTCTTTTGATCTATTTTTTTTTGAGTTGGAGTCTCACTCTGTCACCCAGGTTGGAGGGCAGGGACATGGTCCCGGTCACCGCAGCCTCAACCTGTTGGGCTCAGGCGATTCTTCCGCCTCAGCCTTCCAACTACAGGTATGCACCACCATGCCCGGCTAATTTTTTAATTTATTTTAGAACTTAGGTCTCACCAAGTTGCCAGGGCTGGTCTCAAACTCGTAGGCTTAGGCAATCCTCTCACCTCGGCCTCCCAAAGTGCTGGGATTATAGGCGTGAGCCACCACGCCTGGCCCTTTGATCTATTTATCATAGGTAAGGTTAACTTATTACCATATAGAAATGTATTCCTATTTTTACAAAAGGCCAAATGTGTTAAGAGCGGTTTTTCATGTGTAGAATATGCAAATAAGCATGGACTGAGCCTTGGCAAAGCCTGAGGAGCTTAGGGAAGGTGCCATCTATGAAAAAGTCAGTCTTCATCAGACTTGGAACATGCAAGTGTCACAATCTTGAACTTCCTGGCGTCTAATATGTGAGTAATTTCTGTTGTTTATAAACCATATCGTTGATGGTATTTTGCGATAGCAGCACAAACTGACATCCTACAACTAGCAATTCATGACAGTCTCATTTCATTATGCTTTCACCCATTTTCCATTAAGATTATTTTGAGACAATTCACATTTCATCTCAAATAATTCAGTATGTATCTCTAAAATATATTATTTTCAAAAATTATATTAGAGGTACATTTTTAATTATGTTTGTGTGGTTATATGGATTACTTGATTAATGTTAGTCTTCCCCACTGGACTCTAAACTTCAAGAGGATTGGGACTGTACCTGTCTTTAACTCTCCTTGTATCACATCATCTAATACAATTTTGAGCACACTAGTATTTTCTCCAACCTATAAATAAATATTTTCTGGCTTATTTTACATTTTTTATTATAAATTATTTTTGTCTACATTTTTTTCTATCTTATTAGTATTTTTATGATATTTTCCATCTATAACAGGAATTACTACCACAAAGTATTGTCAGTTAGCACTTCAGAGGGTTTATTAGCATGCCCAACAAATTCCCCAGACCTGATTCCATTGTAGCTTAAGAATTTCCCTCAAGAGAAGATTGAGGGATAAACACAAAATACAACAGCACCTGATGTGCAGGAGTTTCAGGGAGATCATTTCTGCAAATGCTGAAATAACATGCAAAATGTGTAAAGTAGATACCAAAGCAAAACCTGAAATACCTGGCTGCAGCTCCCAGCGGAAACCTCAATGCAGCTGGTGAAATTCCCTGCACGGCTTACATCTCTGAAATAAAACTTAAGGATTCAGTGAAGGGGGACAGGCAGTTACACCTATTACAACTGCCAAATCTTTGTATATTTAGAAGCCATTTGAAATAACTTGCTTGTTTCACATACAATATTACATATATATATATTTTTTTTTTTTTCTTTCAATCAGTGGAGCAGAGGTGAGTTTGAATCTGCCTAAACTGTTTATTCTGTACAGGCCATCCTCATTCCCTGGATATTGATATACTTCATAAGGGGTTCAGTGGTGTCTCGCAGGGTGCGTGCAAGCAAGTCTTGGCTAAGTCTGAGGAGAGTAGAAGCCTCAGCATCCGTGATAATAAAATACCTGTCAGTGATCAGAAGAGCATAACCATGAAAAGTTTTTACCTTATCTCATCAAAGCACCTCATCTACTGATTCCCCAGACTCCTTAGATAGGAACTGCAAATTACCAGTCAAGAAATCTTTTAATCCACCGATGGGCTATAAGGCCCCACTTGGAAATGTCCTTTCTTCCTGAGCCAAACCAAACCAATGAAAATCTCTCACATGTATTGATGTATGGTTTCTTGTCAATTCTGCCTTTCTTAAGTGCATATAACCAAGTCACCATTCAACCACAGTGGGGACATGTTCTCAGGCCCTCCTGAGCATGAATGTCCCCAGGCTTAAGTCCTCAAGTTTGGCCTAAGAATAAGCCATCTTAAAATATTTTACAGATATAATGGACCTTGAACATCCAATGTAATACTATAAGAAAATGACTGACGGTACTGGGAAACTATGGGGGGGAGGGGGAGGGGATTAACAGTAGCAAATATCTGTCTGGGGCTGGGAAACACCTCTTATCAACAGGGTGTCTGAATGAAACGTAATTGTACACCTAACCCTTAACTGTACCCCACAAAACTATAATAAAAATACTGATTAATTATTAAAAAAAAAAAAAAATATTTTACAGAGTTTGGCATCTTTTCATCAGCCTTCTCAAGAGAAACAAATGGGAGGGTCAAACATCCAGGTGCTAGTCTGAGCAACACCTGAGGAGTAGAGAGGCTGTGAAGGTTGGTATTCTGTGAATAATTCTGAAATGCCCCTTAAGGGGCCTATGCCCACCTGTGTTGAGAATCACTGATTTATACTTTTATTAATTAAGCTTGCTTCTTTCTTTCCTTCTTTCGAGATGGGGTCTGGTTATGTTGTCCGGGCTATTTTGGAACTCCTGGGTTCAAGCAATCCTCTCTCCTCAGCTTCTGGAGTTTGTTTAACTTTCTTTCTTTCTTTCTTTCTGAGTCAGAGTCTCACTCTGTTGCCCAGGCTGGAGTGCAGTGGCATGCTCACGGCTACTGCAGCCTCAACCTCTTGGACTCAGGCAATTCTCCTGCCTCAGCCTTCCAAGTAGCTGAAACTACAGGTATGTACCAACACACCCAGCTAATTTTTGATTTATTGTAGAGATGAAGTCTCACCAAGTTACCCAGGCTAGTCTTGAACCCGTGGCTTCAGGCAATCCTCTTGCCTCTGCCTCCCAAAGTGATGGGATTATAGGCATGTACTCTTTTTCCCAGTCTGACAAATTATGCAGAGCACTTTTAACTCTTCACTTGGTGTTTTGTTTGTTTCTCTTTTTTTTTTTTTTTTTTTGAATGAGTGATAAATTTGCATAGTTCAGATTCCACACTTCAAAAGGTACTGTTAACACTCTTCCCATTCCTATCTTTGGCCACCCTGTTCTGTCCAGAACACTGTCTTGTTTAATCTTGCAGAAACTTTTAATGGTTATGCTCCTAACATCTCTATTTTTACTCTCCTTTTATGCAAATTGTATCATACCAGATACATTTTTTCTAAACCTTGCCTTTTTTATTTAAATAATCTTCTTCATTCTTTTTTGTAGTTGTATAGTATTCCATTGTATATTCATAATTTATTTCATTAATCTTCTATTAATGGATATTTAGGTCGTTTTTAGTCTTTTGCTATTACCAATAATGCTGCTGTGAATAACTCTGTGCATGTATCATTTTGAAAATGTATAGGTGTAGTTGGAGAATAAATTCATAGAGGAGGAATTGCTAGATCAAAAGATATGTGCATTTGTAAAGTGCATGAATTTTTGTGCACTACTTTAAACTTACAGCTTGATGAGCTTGCATGTGTAATCCCCACTCAAATAAGGAAGTAGAACATTTACACAACCTAGATCATTCTCTCCTGTTTCTCCTCAATCAATACTTCCCACCAGAGGTAGCCACTGTTCTGAGATTTATCACAGTTAACTAATTATTATTATTATTTTTTGAGTCAGGGTCTCACTCTATTGCACAGGCTGGGGTACAGTGGCATGATCACAGTCTCACTGCAGACTCGACCTCTTGGACTCAGGTGATCCTTCCACCTCAGACCCCTGAGTGGCTGGGACTGCAAGCACACACTACCATGTCCAGTTAATTTTTTTTTTATTTTGTGTAGAGAAGCAGTCTTGCTATGTTGCCTAGGCTGGTCCCAAACTCTTGGGCTCAAGCAATCCTCCTCCTCAGCCTCCCAAAGTGCTGGGACTACAGGTAGGAGCCACTGCACCTGGCCCAATTAATTCCTAAAACTGTACATAAATGAAAGCACACAGTAAGTTTTCTTTTGTGTCTAGTTTACTGAACATAATTTTATTAAATATATCCATATTTGTTACAGATAATAGTTTTATTGCGGTGAGTATCCTATTATATAAATACATCACAATTTGTTTATTCATTCTCCTGATAATGGACATTTGGGGGGTTTTTTCCCACAGATTTTAGTTATTATAAGTAAAGCTGCTAGGAACATTCTTATATGTGTCTTTTAGTGAACACATACACTCATTTTTCTTGAATATATGCCTATGAGTAAAATTACAAGATGAATGGGTAAGCATATATTTAGCTTTTATAGATACGTCCAGATTTTTTTTTCTGATATTTATATTGTCACATCACCTTTCTTTTTTAATTTTTGCATGGTATATAATTTTCCATTCTTTTTCTTTCTTTTTTTTAATGTTTAATTTTAAAGATGTGGGGTACAATTCAGGGTTAGGTATACAAATATTCATTATGCAGGTACCCTTGGTGATCAGGTGTGTCCCCTACCAGCAGATTCCCACTACTGCCAATCCCACCTCCCCTCCATCCCCAGCAGTTTCCCGCTACTGCCAATCCTTTTCTTATAGTATTACCATAATTGTTCAAGGTCTGCTCATGAGTGAGAACATGTGATACTCAGTTCTTTGTTTCTGCGACAGATCACTCAGTATTATAGCCTCTAAGTCCATCCAAGTTGCTGTGATGTTCATAATTTTTCATACTTTTTCTTTCAACAAATCTGTCACTACTTACAATGTGTTGCAAACAGCACAGAGTTGGGTTTTAATTTTTAAAAATTCAGTCTCACAACTTTATTTTTATTCTGCACTTCTAAAATCATTTTGTTTTGTTTTTGATTTTTGAGATGGGGAAGAGTGAGGGGAGTTTCTGCTAAGTTGCTCAGG